AAAAAATATTTAAGTGTTATTATAAGTGTAAATTATCCTCTACAATTATAATAATATATATCATTATTTATATTTAGTTTCAAAAAGAGAAGATCATACAAGGCATGGTGATAATAGTTTATCGCTGCATTATTATATATCATCATTTAAATAAGACTTCGTTATGTATCACATTTCTGTTACTTAAAAAAAAATGCTTTTTAACTTTAATTTATGTAACATACATGTACACGCTTATAATATATTAATTGACTGTATTTTTTCATAGATTGAGAACAGTTCTACAGCGAAAGATGGAACAGGAAGTTTCGAAGAAACAATCGTATCGTTAGATGAAAGATTTACTAAAGTATTGACACGACTTCTAGATCGAATTTGTGATTTGGGTTGTGATAATAACAATGAGAAATTACTTAATGTATTATGTCGGTAAGAATTCTATTTATATAATTTTTATGCATCCTTTTTTTCTCACACAATTGTTATAAAATTACTACTAATTCATTTTTAAATTATTTATGTTTGAATTAGACTTGACTTCAACATGTTTTACACCGACATACTAATACGTCGAGGGAAAGAAAAGACCGTCACGCAGCAAGATATATCTGGCTAGTAATATATTATTTCTCATTTATGCGTAAATGCACATGCAGACGTTGTACGCATGCACGCATGAAAGATGGAAATGATATAAATTTCAACAAAATTTACTACAATCTATCTTTTATTCGTATAAATTATATACAAAAAAATCTCATTATAAATAGATCTGAAAAAGTTATATTATAGATAGACCTCACACAATCATTAAAGATTTACTTAGAGTTACACAAAAATTATATATACAAATTATAAAATAATAATTTCAAAAAATGTATTGTGAAAACATTCGTTATATATTATATAAATCGTGCAACGATACATCCAGACATTTGTATATCGTGTAATATTTAGATAAATTTACTTCGATTAGGATTGTATTGAATTTAATGATATAATTTACACGTAGCTAACAAAGTTAAACCGCTTATAATAAAATTAACATATACTTGGCAGTATTGTTTGATATTATAATTTATAAAATTAAGTTTTGTGTAGTTCTATGCAGTAATCTATCTAAAAAGGGTAAGACATTTTATAAGTCTGTTAAACAATAGAATATGTAAAGAATGAATTTAAACATCTCATGTATACATGTTAATGTTTGTTAATATATATTAACTTTTCAAATACACACGTATCAACTTTCTCTCACGAATTCCATTGTATTTTTTATATTGCATTTTATATTATCAATTGTGAGTTTTTTAAAATCGTATTCAAAGCAACTCACATCGCCGCCAATTGCTCCCGCAGCTTGGTCAACTCCATCATTATCTTCTCATTATCCAATACTTGATTCTTATCCAAATTAATCTGTTCAGCTTGCTTCATTATATTAGGATCAATTCTCAAGATGGCCTAATATTTATCGTGATTTACAGATTTACAGACTCGCTACGAGCTAGTTGTATTTGTCATTTACGCTATCGTACTGCTTGACGTTGACACGTATGTATGTACCTACATTTAAATACGAGACATTTAAATCCGTGCACGCAATGTTTTGTTGTGGCACATATATATGGGTCCGATTCACGCTCACAGTGTTGTAAGCTCTATCATCGTTTGATATTCGATGTGCAACGAAGACAGAATGATGCTTACAACTGTGTGAGCGTGAATCGGATCTCAGCCATGGTAAGTCGCTCGTGACGTAAATCGCGCGTGTCAACGACACTGCGAATTAATGCGGTTTTGATGAGGCAGGCGGTATGTTCAAGATTGTCTTAAAACTTCGCTGTCATTTCCGTAGCAAGTATAAAGCCGAAATTATAACCGGGAATAAATTCATTAGAGCCATCTTGGAATTGAGATGGTATTCGGTGGATAGCTTATTTACGAGCAAATGTGGACCGCATAGACTTATTGCTTCTCTCGCCGCGACTTTAATTCGCGATTTCTATAGGAATAACTATAGTTATGCGTAAATAGCTGTAAATATATTATACTTGTATCTAAATAAATTTAAGACTTGTCCGTTAAAAATCTCTTTATTAACTTTAAGCCCGTCTCTTATGTGTACGCGGTTCGGTGTCTCTTTCACGCTTTTGATCCGCTTTCAGACACTACAATTTATGATATATATCTCGCGTGCGCTCCATACCTCGCTTTGCACTGTTTCAACGTTACGACAATTCGCTTTAAAGTTAAAAACAAATTCGACAATTGAACGAAGTCTTCAAAGCCGGCGACTTCAACCTTGGAAAATGGAGCGCTAACGATTCGAATATTCTCGCATATTATATCTGACATTCCACATCATATATTTCCGTTCTTCCATTGTGTAATAAGTGTATTGTAATTTCTTTGCTCGATAAATCCAATTCCATCAGGGATAAGTCGTAGACTTCAATAAATGATCTCACACCGACTTTTCTTCAAGATCCATTTTAGTATCTGAAAGCAAAACATTAAATCTGTAACATTGATGCTAGGTCAGTTATTTTGAGAAGAAACATTACTGAAAATAGGATATTAAATAATAAATTATATTAGTTATTTTGAAGATTATTATAAAAAATACAAATAATAAAATTAATATATCAAATTCGTTGGACTATCAAACTAAAATTTTTGATTTTTAACTTCCTATCTTTAAAAAAAATAATAACTTCATCCGCCAGTGATTAAACAGCAATTATTAATTTATTACTCGATTAACTGGCCCATATGTACAAAAGTATGCACTACGTTTCGGCTCAAGGTTCGAGCCCTTTTCAAGTGCGGTATAAAACGGGATACAGCAGAATATAATGCAATGTATAAAAAATAAATAAAAATAAAACATAGAATAATCCAAAAACGTTAAATTATGAGCAATATCTATATCATCGAAATGACTCGTCATCACCTAATTAATAAACATTCCTGCGTTTACGAGCATGTTCCAGCATGGCCATATAAATGACAGCTGTGGACAATTTTACGTGTAGCAACAATATGTGAGGAGAGAAAGCGAAGATCGAGAAAGACTTACTTACGTGTTTTGTAATTTTAAAAATTAGCGTGTGCCAGATTCTCCGTTGCGACATGTTACTCGTATGCGAATGCTTACATGCTCGTAAACGCAACAGGAATGTTTATTAATTAGGTGATGACGAGTCATTTCAATGATATAGGTATTGCTCATAATTTAACGTTTTTAATTGGATTATTTTATGTTTTATTTTTATTTATTTTTTATACGTATACATTGCATTATATTCTGCTGAATCCCGTTTTAGACCGCACTTGAAAAGGGCTCGAACCTTGAGCCGAAACGTATATAGTGCATACTTTTGTACATATGGGCTAATTAGTCGAGCAATAAATTAATAATTGCTCTTTTAAAAAAAAAACTTTGCACAAGCTAAGCAATACGTATTACAAAAGTGACATTTTATTCTGAGAAATATTGAAGTTACCGCGAATATTACTAGCAATTTAACACGATATTAACGTATCGCTAGTAGATATTACTATGTAATATCTGGGAATTATGAAATCGCTTCAAGAATTTACCTCCTGGTTTCAAGTTTCGCGTGCTATAATATAATGCGGGATAACGATGAAACGCAGACGAAAGATTGCTTAGCGATAATTATATTCAGAGCGGCCTGCAGCGAGAGAGTCTAGGATCTAGACTCTAGATCAACGTCTCGGCATCCAGCCACCCACTTATGCGATAATCAAGGGACGTCTGCGGGTGCGCTGGCCCCGTAGTGCAACAAACTTTCGAGGAAGTCCTATTTCGTACATTCCATACATGCATATCATTATTGAGTTTCGTAATCGTGCGTTTTACAACAAACGGAAGTCCGCGCGCGAATCGAATTGCGTTCATGATGATCGTTTTACAATTCTTTTGCGAGCTGGCTGTTAGGCAAATGCGCGGTGTACTACTTACGACATAACGCGAGCACGCGCTTTTTTTTGCCAAATAGCAAATGTAGCAATTTGCATCAACCATATTTTCAAAATACACATATATGAACATACTTTCGTAAAATTTTAATGACGTCTGTGCTTTTTGCCCCGGGACGGTTTCACAATGTGCAAACTGATGAAATTATGGAATACGAAAATTTCAACCTAACGTCAGCGATTCTTTGGGTTATTTATATCAGTAGCACTGAGGAATCGCGTTAGTCTCAATTAAGTAGTGAAACTGTAAGAGCCACACGATGTTTTCGCATCGAGGATTAGTAAGTGAACTCATATTTTACATTTAGTTAAAATTTTTATGAGTTTTTAAACTTCTGGAATTAGAACTTCTTTTCAATAATTAAACCATATATCATCAGCGTTAGGCAGAATATTTGTAGAAATTAATACAATAAAATATTTATTTCTCTTTTGTATTTTTCCTCTAAATCGATTTTTACATTATCAAAATAATATTCCATAGTAAATCCATAAATATATAATCTTTCTTTCAATAATTTTAAATTGTTAAATAAATAACGAATAAATAAAGTAATCGCTCGTATATGTCAAAATACAATGGGAATAAAGGTCATTAATTTGAATAAGGACACAGAGTATCTGGATGAGTCATATAACAGTATTCTCAGCAAACTCATCGACATCTAGCTATTTATTGTTTCGATGTATTATCATTTCGAAGAATCACTTTCGCTGTTAACCAAATGGGAATGCTTTGTCATTAGTATTTGAGACACAAAGGAGCTAACATCGACCGTGAGAGCGCGAAACATCGGACCACGACTTAATTTTGTAATTGTAAGTCCTTACGGTGATTATTTTAAACAACCGCACAAGCTTCCTCCCGCTATTGAGACATCGAATTTCAGAACGTATTATAAACTTGACCACACCGCTGATTGACCTAAGATCTAACGCTTTTAACAACTGACTTGGTTCGTTTTCGCCATCCAACGAAGAATAAATCATGGATTTACCTTTGACTGCAGACTTGCGAATTGACTACAGATATTCATATACAATTTCACATTTCACAATAGACTCCAAAGATATTTATTTATACACAATTTTACATTGTAATAGTCGACATATTTATTATACACAGATATTTATTTATACACAATTTTACATTGTAATGCTCTCATGTAAGATGGCTCCGGATGGCTTTGTCATTCACTATCGAGAAAAATCCTTGCCCGTCTTCGATTGTTTTACCTCTTTATTTATTATTTTTTTTATTATTTGATACTTTGCTTATTGCGCGACTCCATGTAATTATTCGAATTTATCGGCTGAAGAAGACACTGTGTGTTCGAAACGTCTCGTCATTTGTAAATATTATTAAATGAACTATTGATTTGACATACTGTTATATATGCTCGATTGTTGGCCTTTATTCCCATTGTATGTTAAATAAATAATTTAGGGAACAAATTTCTGCCATATCGAACATCTGTTCGAGAACAATCTGCTTAAAGTTTCCTTATAATTATTTCAGTTCTTAGCAGTGACCATCTCGCTGGCAAGTATCGTACTTGCCGGCGTCCTCTATCAACCCGGGTATGAACATCAATACAATAGCAATTCACGCTATTTGCAAGATCAGTCTGCTCCGCAGTACTGGACACAGTCTCCGATTGAACAACATCGCGCGGAACAATTACCGACGCGATATCGTCCGGGAGTTCAAACGGTGTATCCCTATGAATCGAACCAAGTCAATGCTCGTTCAAGTGAGCCAATTAATTTTCCTCCAAACACCATTTTCATTCCCTGGCCAATATACCCCCAGCCTGGCCTCTTGTATCTAGACTTGTTAAAAAATGCCTCAAAAATAATAGAAAATGAAGATCCAAAAGAGGCTAGGCGTGAAACAGTGGAAGATTATGAAAAAATTATTTTCCGACGCGGCCTGAACGGAGGCCGCTCTCTTCAACCCTTGGTAAATGCTCATTATTTTATTACTTGATCTGATGAAATGATTTATGTTTCATTAACTTAACATTCACAATATTTTATTTATATTACTATCATTTCATTAAAAGTTCAAATTTTATTTAATTTGATATTTTTAAATGTAATATTTAATTCAAAACACTTATATGTAACACCTAGCAATTTGTTTTATGCGACAAATATGTACACTGTATTATTGACAAACAGTTTTTCTTGAAGTTAATTATATAACACAAACGCTAAATATTTGTCGTATTTTTGTACACGAATTGATCATCTAAGTTACTTAATATTTCATAAGAATGATATTTCTCCAGATGGTGCACAACCGAAGGAAAAGATCGGATCCTGCAAGCACTGAATCTGAGGTCGTTGCACATGACAATGATGTGGCCGCGAAGTCGCCCTCAACTGACGCCAAGCATCCTGCAACCATCGACTCGTTACTTCCAGAACATGAGCCTACTGATACTACTGGTAAATATTTCATAGAACAAGATTAAAATTTGACATCTTCAAATAATAACCTAATGCATGCCGCTTATCTTGAGAGTCGTGTAACATTTTTCTTATACGAGTTTCAATGAGACGCAAACGTAAAAAAATCAATGTATCGATATTAGTATAGTATACGAATTTGCTTGAATGTAAACTGTTCAATTACAGATAAGCGTGTGGAGAACCGTCAGATCAGGAATGACTACATAACAAATCCATTCGGTTTTTATACAGAAGATACGCACCCTGAACATACATACAACATTCCCAACAAATGGCAAAGTATGATTGACCAGTATTATACAAATCGTCATTCGGAACCTCCAAACGTCGCGCAAGGCAAGGCATGTTGCGACGATTACAATAAACCTTTGATGAGATTCGCGCAATCTTCGAGTTCGCAGAAATCGAACGATAACGATTATAGTAGTAAATACCGAGACAGTGCAGCAGACACTGAGAAAGAAACGTTTTTTGAAGCGCTGCTGAAAAAATTGCAATTAATATTAATTAGGCCCGATATAATAGTCTATACCCCTTATTAATTGGACAAAAGATGATCCCGAGAGCACTTTTCCGATGACCATTGGAGATAATCTTTACCCGACCCGAAAGAACGTTTATACTGGAATGAGTGTCAAAGACGAAAGATTCAACGATTACAACGACTATACACTACCTTATGAAACGTTTGCTAAAGTTTCCGAGTAGTAAGTGTTACAGATATGACTCTTTTATCAATTTCTGCCACGTTATCTTGAAGCAACGAGTTGGTTGATCGTAATGATTTTCATGTTTTATTTATCACACTTAATTACTATTATACCATGCACGCATAATTTTTTATAAAGGTACATTCCTTCTTAAACTTCGTCCCCTCGGTAGTCGAACTTTTATATATGATTTGCTACATAAGGAATAAAATGTTTCATTTTGGTATATTATAAATCTATGTATATGTACCACGCTTTTAAATAAATATATTTTAATGAGAACATCATGTTCTTTTCGTTACATTTTTAACACGTTGTAAATCTTATCACGTCATAAAAAAAGTTAGTTTAAAAAAAAATAGACTCCCGACTGTTGCCTAAAGTAAGTTAAATTATAATAAAAAACCAAGAAATTAAAAAAATTAAACGGTAAAAAAGACAGGTTTTTTATGTTGATAAAAATAATTGCTTTTTTATGTTAATAATTGCAATGTAAATTTTACTTTTTTATTAGACTTTGTGATAGCTAGAGCGAGAAATTGTTATATTTGTGATGCGCATCGCGATCATTTCATTCTTGAATAAGGAGGACATTTACGTACAAACGGGTCGAGCGATATAAAAGATGACGCCGGATTGAAGCAGTCTTTGACTTATTGGCGCCGGTAGGTATTTGTTTATAAACTTTCTTCGTTACTCAAAACAGAAATACAGAGATTGAAGTTCCCTGCTCCTTAGAAGTTACTTGTTCCGATCATGTGCACATAATACATCTGCTAATAAGTTAATTATGGCGAGATTTTTGCTCGCGCATCAATTTCTATCAACGATATTAGTCTCAGAGAAATCAATGATTTCTGTATAAAGTCAATTGTCAGGGATATTTTACATTAGTTTAGAAAAATAATTAAAATATATCTTTAGTTAGAGAGAAAGTATATCGTAATTTCTCTCTCTACTTAGCATACTAATAAATTGCAATCAACAATTAAAAACCGAGTTATATGCATTTTATTATTTTATTTGTTTCTAACAACTGTCAAATAAATATCACAAAAACAGCAAAAAATTTTATTTTATGGTCGAAAAAATTATTATCAAAATATAAAAAAAGTGAAAATATACTTGTAGAAATGTACATATTAAAATAACACCCGGGCACGCCAAGTTTTACGCATTATTTTGATTTTAAATCTGTTTTATATGACTTAGAAATTGTCTGAAATCACAAAAGAGTTACAGAAAAATAAAATAAAAGTT